GCGCGCACGCGCGGGGGCTGGTCGGGGAGGCTGCGCCCGCGCGCGGGAAAATCGGCCGCCGGTGACCGTTACCCGCTTGGTGTCCACGCGAGACGCCGGAAGGGGAGGGGAGGGAAAGGGACGATCCTCCTTTACTAAGAGGGGGGACAAGGCATGCTACAGGGGGAGAGTGTCCCCTCTCAGCGTGTTGGAAGAAGGGTTTGTGCTGGAGAGGACTCCCGGAGGGAGACAGGAAGGGAGCACCCCCAAGAGGAGAGTTGGACTCCCGGGGTGCAGGGAAAGTGGAGAGGCTTGCTTAGCATGCTGGGGGGTGTGCTTCTCGGCGGGAGAAAACCTGTGGAGAAAACCTGTGGCGGGAGAAAACCTGAGGGGAGATTGGGTTCTCCAAGTGTGAGCGGGACCTCTAAGAGGTTCAGAGACCAGGAGTGGTCAGTGCAGAGCCAGCAGCTGGACATGTTAGTTGGGGCCACTTTAGTGGGGCTCCAAATAGGAGAGCCTGTTGCGGGGAGGAAAGCATGGGGACTCAGCCTAGCTGAGTCCCACTGGCCTAAGCAGTGGGAGGGGAAGTGCATGTGAAACAATTTTGCAAAGCTCTTGTTTGTATATTTTTTCGGTTGACGTCCAGAGTAGTTCATCAGGAGTTTTTAAGTGTTTGTTTTTGTAATGGCAAGGGGGAAAGATTAAATATCTTTAAAAGGTGAAATAGGATGAAGACTGACACATTCAGTGTTTTTGTAAGGTGATTTGCTAAATGGCCTCTAAAGCACATTAATTAAGAATGTGCCTCAAATCAGAAGTCTTTTTTATCTGTGTCATGAAAACGTTTGACCCCTGACAGATGGGATTATTCAGTGCTTACACCTTTATTTCTCCCATTTGATGTAAAAATCCAAACTTATGCTGCAGAACTATTAATATACTCGATTGGCTTGATGCTCCTGACCACGCTGGGGTTGTTAAGTAATTTATGGTATAAATCTAGAGCTACACATGTAAGACCCAAAACAAACTGAATTGCAAGACACATCTGGCTGCTGAAGTTTCAGATAAGGGTTGTGGACCAGTCTTTCCAGTTACAGCTGTGTCTCATGGCCTGGCAGTTTTAATTCCACCCCTTTAGGGCAGTGCACCCTACTAGATGGAGGGGTTGTTCTTTTTCAAAAGTGTGAGCCGGGTGATGAGATCCTGAACTGTAGGCCGTGTTAGGAACAGTATAGGAGCTGGAAGCTCTGGAACCAGATTCCTTTGGGACAGTCCACAGAGCAGATCCCACTCTGAGGACAGTGAGCACTAGGGTTGAAGGTAGTAGCACATTTTTGTGGAGAGTTTTAGCACTGGGAAGATCTGTGGATTAAACTCACGGACTCTGAAGCTGTCCTTGGAAAGTCCCAGGGAGGATTGATTGGGGTCCCCTCTGATCTCTGACCTCACCGGGATGCCCAGTAAGTTCTTTCTGGCTCCCATGTTCTAGGCTGCAGTGTGTGTTGCAAGTCTTCTTGGAATCAGCTACAGGACCTGTGTCGCCTGGCCAAGCTCTCCTGTCCTGGCCTCGGCGTCTCCAAGAGGAACCTCTATGACTTTGAAGTCGAGTACCTGTGCGATTATAAGAAGATTCGCGTGAGTCCGGAGTGACCATGGCCTGGGAGGGGTGTCTCAAGGGGGTCAGCTTCCTGCCATCTTGCCCCACTACCCAAAATTTGCAAAAGGAATTTTCTACTCTGATCATAAAAGCTAGGATTAGTACATCCTTTTAGCATCCCCATTACACACACACACACTCTCTCTCTGAAATGGGAACTGCTTTCAGTGCCAGAGGAAGTAATGGCAGCATAGCAAAAAGAATGGGTTGGAGCCAGCATGCTTGAGTTCAAAATCTGTCACTCTGGGATGCTTACCCAAATTCTCTGTGCTTCATTTCCTCATCTAGAAAATGGGGGTGATGAGCAGCTAACTTATAGAAAGTTGTGAGGATTAAATTAATTAAAAATCGATGTAATTTGCTTAAAATACTACCTGCTACATAACAAAACAATTGAGGAAAATGGCAGCATGAACTTGCAAACTTGCCTAAGACTACATCGCTAGGGAGTAGGAGTGTCTAACTTGGAGACTCTGTATCATTAAACTGAGCACGAACAGAGACTTTGTGTCATTAAACTGAGCAAGAACAGAGACTCTGTATCATGAAACTGAGCAAGAACAGAGACTTTGTATCATTAAACTCAGCAAGAACAGAGACTGTGTATCATTAAACTCAGCAAAAACAGATCCTCTGGCTGCTGTGTGGAGACCAGACTTAGGTGAAGGCAGAAGCCGGGTGGGCATCAGTGAGGAGGCTACTGTCGTGGTCTGGGTGAGGACAGCAGTGGTAGCAGTGCCTGTGGCTTGATGTGCTCAGCTTGTGGATGTGGTCTGGAGGTGGGGTTGGCACGGTCATTCCAAGGGTTGGGGACTGAACAGCTGGACAGAGGAGGGGGTAAATTTGGGTGATTAAATTAAAAGTGAGAATTAGGAAGAGAGGGAGCAGGACTGAACATAGGGATTCCTGTGCTACTTAACCCCTGCATGGAGTCATTCCAGAAAAGGGGGTTGGGTCTGGGTGTTGTTCTTCAGCTTTGGAATGGGAGTCCTACAAGGGCTGGCCCAAGGCTTGTACCTCTTACGGTGCCCATGTCCCCGTCCTCAACAGGAACAGGAGTATTATCTGGTAAAATGGCGCGGATACCCTGACTCGGAGAGCACCTGGGAGCCACGGCAGAATCTGAAGTGTGTGCGTATTCTCAAGCAGTTCCACAAGGACTTGGAAAGGGAGCTGCTTCGGCGGCACCACCGATCAAAGCCACCCCGACACCTGGACCCAAGCTTGGCCAACTACCTGGTGCAGAAGGCCAAGCAGAGGCGGGCACTCCGGCGCTGGGAGCAGGAGCTCAATGCCAAGCGCAGCCACCTGGGACGCATCACCGTGGAGAATGAGGTGGACCTGGACGGCCCCCCTCGGGCCTTCGTGTACATCAACGAGTACCGTGTTGGGGAGGGCATCACCCTTAACCAGGTGGCTGTGGGCTGCGAGTGCCAGGACTGTCTGTGGGCACCGGCTGGTGGCTGCTGCCCCGGGGCATCGCTGCATAAATTTGCCTACAATGACCAGGGCCAGGTGCGCCTGCGAGCAGGGCTGCCCATCTACGAGTGCAACTCCCGCTGCCGCTGTGGCTATGACTGCCCCAACCGCGTGGTCCAGAAGGGCATCCGCTATGACCTCTGCATCTTCCGCACAGATGACGGGCGAGGTTGGGGCGTCCGAACACTGGAGAAGATCCGCAAGAATAGCTTCGTCATGGAATACGTGGGAGAGGTAGGGAGATGGGGCCGCGCGCATGCAGCTCTTCCTACCACGTGCGCCCACTGTCGCGCTCCTCACCCGACGCCTGCAGCGTGTCAGGGGCAGGGAGGAGGTGGTTTACCGGAATGCAATAGCGCATCCTGCCTGAGCAGTCCAGGTGGCACACACCAGGTGGGCTAAGCTGGTAGTTAGAAGTATGTGGAAATACTTCCAGGTTGGCTGGTTTCACACGCGTACCTAGCAAAGAAGCGGAGTGGGAACCGAAATCCAGGCAGATCCCATTTAACAGGCCGGTGGGTGGCGTCGCCTGAAAAGGCGCTTCCTCTTCTCACTTCCCGCGGGTCCCGCTATCGCCAAGCAGTCGGCCCGGAAGGAGCTCCCTGTTCTGACCTCACAGAAGGAACAGTCTGGCATAGCACCTGCCAACCTGGCAGAGGTTGGCTGCCACCTCTAACTTGCAGGGCACTGGGGAAAGGTCAGCTGTGTTAGGCAAGGTAGTCACCGCCCAGGCAAGTCGTGAGGCTTAGTGGCTTTGCACTTAGTGGCCTTGCTCTCGTGCCAGTCCAGTATGGGTGTCTGCGGGGGATCCTCTCACACAGCAGCACAGCCACCTTGGTGTTTCCCTCGTGCCATTGTCACACCGTGCAGCTGCCCCTGATGTGTGGTGCTGCCTGGCAGGCAGACTGAGGGGGGCAGGGAGAGAGGTTTCTAAAGGGCCAGGTCTGGACTTGCGCATGGCGCTGCTGCTCGCTGTGGCACCAGGTCCCCGGCCTCGCCTCGGGAGGCCAGGGGTGCGCAGGAGGTGGAAAACCAAAGGGCCCGGGTGTCTAGCCGCCAGGTGTCTGTATCAGCAGGTGTCTTGCTCTAAGGTGGGATGCTAGGGCAGTTCTTTGTTCTAAAGGACCATATCTTGCATCAGGCGACATTTAATATCCCTGACTTTGACCATTTAAATCCATGGTGTGCCCTGTCATGGTGACAACTCCAAATGCCTCCACACACTTCCAGACTCAGGGTGTGATATGGCTGGAAAGAACTGAAATTGCTCTCAGAGACACAGATCTGAGGGTGTCTACACTGTAGTAATGACATTGAAGAAGAGAACAGGCTTCCGTCTGAGAACTATAAAGTGGAAGTCAGGGACGTGTCAAGACAGCAGTCCATACTGCAGAACAGTGACGAGGACACATCCACACCCCAGATAGTCGTGATGGTGGCGGGGAGGAACATCCACAGGTTGGAGGACCTGTGCTCTGGCCCCCTAGAGGGTTCCTGACAGTCTAGAGGAAGGGGATCCTGACAAGGCGCAGGGAGAGGTGTCCACGCCCCAGAGTGACCCAGAGGAAGAGAGCGAGCTCACCATATTCCCAAGGACTCTGGCAGTCTGGCAGGAAGTGACCCCACCCACGCTGTCCTGCCAGTCAGGAAAAGCAAGTGTCCTCGCCCCGGAAGGACTGTGACAGTCTGAGGAGGGCAGGTCTGCATCTGAGAGAGCTCTGGCAACTTGGAGGAAGCACACACACCCTCCGTGTCCTAACACGCTGGAGGCGGGGTCCAGGCCCTGGAGCCTGACAGCCCTAGAGACATCCAGAGTGGGGAGTGTGTCCACCTCACTGTTCTGACAATCTTCAGAGAATGCTGTCCAACACAGGGGGTCCTGGCAGGCAAGGTGCAGGAAGTGTCAGTCACAGGCACCCCAAAGCCCCCTAGTCCTGATACCTTTCTGGCTGCTCTTCTGTTACTGCCCCACACACTGAAACATCAGTTTCCAGGAATCTTCTTGCTCGCCAACCCCACTCTCAGCACTTTCCACACATTCTTCTGAGCTATTTTTTGGCTTCTTTCCTGCCAAGACATCAGGCCCTGTGACCCTCTCAGACCTGTGAGGCCTTCTGGTGTGGCATCACATTGCCAGAACCAAACTCATCTTTCTGCATCTGCATCTGAGGAGGCAGCATGGCCAAGGGGGCAAGACAGTGGGCCCGGGAGCCTGACTGCCCGAGGCCAGATCCCAGCTCCTGCCACTCTGCAGTCACGCAATCTCTTTGCGTATCGGTTCGCTAAGCTGTTAAATGGTACAGTAATAGCACCCACTTCCAATGCTTTTATAGGAACTAAGTGCATTAGTATGTGGGAAACACCTGGAAGAAGCACTTGAACAGTGTTCAGTACACAGTAAGTCTTCAATAAATACTAGCCACTGCAGGTCCAAGTTCTGAAAATCCAAAATGCTCAACCATTGGAACCAATGAAAACCAAAACCCAACCTCTCCTGATAAGCGCCGACTTAGAGTCCATTTATCCCGCTTGGCGTGAGCATTCACAAAACTCACTGCAGAAAGGTTAGTTAAGTTGACTACGAGCCGTCCCAGCCCCTACCTGGTGTCCTGTAGTCAAGGGCACACCAAGCCCTGTTGGCCTCGCCAGACTACAGTCTGCACACGCCATTTGCTTTCCTGCTTGTCCGCCTCTGCTCCGACAGCCCCCTCCGTGAGCTGCCGCCTGTTCCTGTAGGACACCCCGCCCTCACCCAGCAGAGGATGATGTCCTATTTCATCCACTCCAACACATGCAGTCTTGTCACATTTTAACATCTCCGTGATGTAGGTGAGCCTCCATTGGTTTGATTAAGTGATGGCATGTGACCGTTAGCAGCAGTTTTTCCTTGCTAGGGAAAGGGCACATAAAATAAAGGGAGCATTTGGGTTTCACAAGGTCCAGTACTCAGAACTACTCCTAATGTTGCTCAGTCTCCAAACTTAAAAACACCTTTCACACCCCTGACCTCGTGGGATCTTTACAGTAGGCCCTGCCAGGGTGGGATGATTGTAATCGTCAACCTCGCTCTACAGAGAAAACAGACCCAGAAGCAGACAGCACCTCGCTCAGTCACCAAGCCAGCAAAGGGGGGGGGCTGGAGTGTGTCAGCCTGGTGCGCTGCCAGACCTGGTGGAGGGTTTTTCTGCCAATGAAACATTTGGGGTCCCATCTCCCAGAGGGGGCAGAGCAGCACCCTGACTGAATCCTCTGGCTCCCACTCATAGCAACACTCCTTCCCTAGCTGCCACTGAAGGCCACCTCTCCCCCCCATCCCTGGAGAGCTGCTAGGGACCAGGGAGGGAATGATTGGTTCGCATAGTGGAGCAGCCATTATAGGGTTGGACTGAGAAGGTAGAGAAGGAGCCGTTTGTGCCTGGAGGACTTGTAACGTGACTCATCCTGGTGAGAGGAGCAGGTAGGGGCAGATCAGGCGGGAAGATGTAGGCAGCGCTCAGGGCATGCCCTTTGGGTTGGAGAGGGGCTGGCAGGAAAGAGCTGGCTCACACTAGGTTGGCGTGCTCTGGGGCCCAGAGAGGCTGCCCTTTGGTCTCGGGGCTTCAGAGGGGTGGCTCAGGCGTGGAGTAGATGGGGGGGGGGGTTTGGGAAATCTGCGCGGGCAGAGAAGGAAGAGTACATGTTCTCTGGGCGTGGAAGGAGAGTGACCCTGACTGAACTCAAAGAGATATGGCTCGCTGGAGCCCTTGGGAGAGTCCTCACTCCTCAGCCTGGTGTCGGTGCCCCTGGTGATGTGCAGCTGGGGAGGGAACCGCTTCCCCACCGGCCTCCGCCCTCAGCATTGTGCTCCCTGTCAACGCCTCGCGCTGTGCTAAGTGCATCTCTGTCACCAATCTGTGACCCCCCGAGCACTGGGACTGGGCTTGATCCCTGTGATCCCTGGCCCCTAAGCAGCAAACCAGGCACAGAGTAGGCCTGATAAAAACCCAGAGTGAATGAACGAAAATCTATGGCTGGGGAACCAGGAATAGAGCTGGTGTATGGGGTGGTGAGGCCCAAAGGACAAATCTTGGTTGTCCAGAGGTATCACTGACAGGCATTTGGCACAGAGCAGAGGCGAGGGTGCTTGTGTGAGAGGCAGGAGATGGGGAAGACACTGATGTGGCTGTCCTGGCGAGAAGAAACAAGGACTGTGGGAAGAGCGTGTCCCGTCCGGCACGAGGGTGAGTGAGGAAGCGGCCAGTGTCTGCGGGGTGGACGTGGGGCAGTGGGCCTCTGACTAAGGGAGAGGAAAGCAAGAAGAGGTGTGGGGGCAAGTGTGTATGAGTTACCTGCACAGAGAAGTCTCTGGGCTAGAAAGCAGAATAGAACTAGAGGGCGTTCATTGCGTGTCCACTGTGCGCTGTGTCCTGTGCTGGCACTTGGCGGCAGGGGAGCAGGGAGGCAGTAGGGGCCCCGGCAATGAAGCAGGAGGCTTTCTGAAGCACCCTAGGCTGAGAAGGGCAGTCTTGGCTGCCGTGGACCCTCACCCAGAGATGGGCATGGTCGGCTGCACTTGACCATTCATTACAGGAGGCTGTGGTTGACCCCAGGCGAAGAAGGGCCCCGAGGGACAGAGGAGAGTGTTTGAGGGGGTGGATAGTCCACTGGCATCATCTGGGAGGCAAGGACAGGTGGGGCCACGGTTGGTATGGCCCCACGGTTCTGGGAAGGCCTGCTGCCCTCTAAGGCACCGCTTTTTGCCCCTGCACCGCGTCTGGGCTGAAGACGGGCTCTCTCTTGCACGTGCGTGTTCCAGCTCAGGCCCCCAGGCCGCTGGTCTCCTCTGGACCTGAGTCTTTCCTGTGGGGCTTCTGTCTGTTTCTAACTATGCCTCAGGTTCTCCCGGAGTCGCTTTCATTCAATTTCCCTTTCCCTCCAGCCCTGGGCCTTTCTCCCCTCTGTCTTGTCCACTGATTGCCCTTTCCCACAGAGGCCTGAGGTGGGACAGGTGGTGAGCAGCGGAGACCCAGCCTGCTGAGCAGGGCTTCACAGACCGTCTGCATCCCTGTCCCCCACGTGTCCACCCTGCCAGCCACGAGAGCTTGGAGTGCCTCTCGGCTCCCTTGGTCGCCTCCCCAGGGTCTAGGCCCTGGGTAGGAGCTGAACTAGCTTTCCTGAGCCTTCTTGGTCAATCTTCCTCCCCCACGGCCCTCTCCCCAGATCATTACCTCAGAGGAGGCGGAGCGGCGGGGCCAGATCTACGACCGCCAGGGTGCCACCTACCTCTTCGACCTGGACTACGTGGAGGACGTGTACACGGTGGATGCTGCCTATTACGGCAATATCTCCCACTTTGTCAACCACAGTGTGGGTACCCGGCAGGTGGGCGAGCGGGTAGGGATCTGGAGGAGTAGGCTGGGCCCCTCCTCACCCTCCCGCTATTCTTTTTCTGCCCAGTGTGACCCTAACCTCCAGGTGTACAACGTCTTCATAGACAACCTTGATGAGCGGCTGCCCCGCATCGCTTTCTTTGCCACAAGAACCATCCGGGCAGGCGAGGAGCTCACCTTTGATTACAACATGCAAGGTGGGGGGCGTGGGGCCGGGGCAGGGGCATGCCACAACATGGGACACAAGGATCCCACCCCAAGGAGCTTTAAGATGCTCTTCTGACTTTGGTTCCCCATCTAGGCTACTGAGGCTCTACCCACCCCAGGGCGGGGGTCCCCCTCGCTCCAGCCCGAGACACTCATGCCAGCTTCCCCCAAAACTGCTGGGGGAAGACATTTGGCTCAGGCGTTAAGGCACCCCTCCTCATTCCAATCCTCTGAATTTCCCTGACTTCTCCCCCCCTCCCCTTCCTCATTCCAAACCTCTGGCTACCCTTGGGACTTCAGCCAGGCCTTTCTGATAAGCTAACCACCTCTGAGACACTGGTGGGGAGAACCTAGCAGCGGTGTTCAGATTCCCTTCTGGATGCCCAGGTGACCCTCCACTCCTGACCTCTGCCTGGCCCAACCCCCTGGTTCTCCCTGACGTATCCTTGTATCCCCCAGCCACTCCCAAACCCTGGCCATCTTCCTAATACTTGAACAGACAGTTCTCAAGTGCTGAATCCTGGCCCTAGTCCCAAACCACTACCCCCAAGACTCCTGGGTCTCCTGGTAAGAAGGGCGTCGGGACACTTCCTCCAGCCTTCTAACAAGTCCCTTTCCCGGCTGTGACTCCACAGTGGATCCCGTGGACATGGAGAGCACCCGCATGGACTCCAACTTTGGCCTGGCTGGGCTCCCTGGCTCTCCCAAGAAGCGGGTCCGTATTGAGTGCAAGTGTGGGACTGACTCCTGCCGCAAATACCTCTTCTAGCCCTTTGAAGTCTGAGGCCAGACTGATGGTGGGGGCCTCTCCATGCTTCCTCCCCCACTGCTGCCCTCCTGGCAAGGAATGGCTGCCAGGGCCTCCTGCCTGCCTCCACCTGCCCGTGCTTGCCCCGGCCGGGGCTGCGGGGCTGCAGTGAGGGCTGACTCCTGGAGTTCCTTCTCCCTGCCCAGCCCACCTGTGGGTTGCACTTACAAACCCAGCCCACCTTCAGAAGTGATTTTCCAGCACAAGGACTTTCTGCAGTTGGGATCCTCAGCCTACCCAGGAGGCCCAAGGGGTGAGGCCCAGCCCAGCCCCAGAATAGAGAGATAAGTTTGTATTTGCACCTGCTTCTGCCTGGAGCTTTAGGGGTCTTGCAGGCCTCCTCCCTACTGCCCCAAGGGTGTGGGGAAGCAGCCCCAGGGCAGGCTGACATCAGAGCCAAGAGTTCCCAGCCCGCTTAGTCTCCCTATACAGAGCCGTGCCAGCAACAAGTGGGGTCTCCAGGGCTGCTTTGTGCTCATGCTCACATGCTGGCTAGTGTTGGCCTAAGGGTCTTTCAGGGCTGTGCATCTGAGAAATGGACACCCATGTGCCACTGGAGGGCAGTGGATGCCCATGACCCCCTGACAGTGAATAGAAGGCAGTCCAGACTTTCCCAGATCTGAAGGTGGGCTAGGGGTGAGCTCTGCTTCTGGCTGTGCACAGGGCTCTGGGGAGCTCTGCGGGTACCGGGAGACCACCCTGGTATGTGACGGCTGCCTGGACCACTGAGAGCTGGAACCAAGACCTACCTAGGCTGTAGATAGCACTTAGGACAAAAATGTGCATTCATGAGGTGCTGATGAGGGGCCGGGCACTGGGCAGAGCACCTGGCCCATGTCTCAGGGAAGCCTGGAAAATCATGGCGGTGGGTCCCAGGGAAGGGCCCATGTGGCAGAAGGCCAAGAAATACAAAATACACGCCAAGAACGGAGTGGGGTGCTTCTTCCACTAGGGCTTGGTGGGTGACAGGGAAGACCCCCACCACCACCTGCCAGGCCCTGTCCCCAGCCCTTTGTGTGTACCTCGGGTCTACTGATCTCAGTTATCTGCCCACAAATGTACAAAAGGCTCTGATAGCTGCCTGGCCCCTTGCTTTTCCCGTCAGGTCATCTCTAGGAAGCCTTCCCTGACTCCCCTTGCCCAGAGTGCCCCTGTGTGAGACTGCCCTGCCCCCAGATGCCAGATCTGTGTGTATGTCTGTGTGTGTCTGTGTCTGTGCCCTCTGCCCCCAGACTGACCTTCGGGCACGGACTGAATCTGTTTTCCTCTTGTGCATCCCTCAGCCCAACCCTGTTTGGGGTGGGCATCAATAAAAGGAACTATTGACTGAACAAAACACAGTGTGGGGCTTGAGGACCTTGGTGGGGGGAGAGGCTGGGAGCTGGGGTGTCAGTGCATGTGTCTCAGGCCCCAGCCACTGAGCTGCACGCTCCCACTCCATCACTTGCACCGTCACCCATATACTGTCTTGACCCCAGACAAGTTTGCTTTGTACTTAGATTTTCAAATACATTTAAAAAGCAAACTGAATGCATGGCTGCCTCAGTGGCCAACCCATATCACAATATACTGGGTAAAGTTTTTTCTGCGAATATTTCCTGAGCACCTGTGTGCCAAGAGGTGACATTTCTGTAATACACTCATTTTCATCCGTTGGCCTTGGTGGGAGCCAGTGCCCTTTGTTTTTACTCAGTGACCTCACAGGCTGTGACATAGGTGTTCAAGTAGCTCAAGGACCTCACCCCCAGGTGACAACAGAACCCTAAACAGGTCACAGGCCTCACACAGCTCAGAGACCTTGTACCCTGGATACCTCTCCGAGTCTCAGACCTCACACGCTGGGCTGTACATCTCCGTACAGCTTGGACATCTCACACTGGGGCCCCAAATAACACACAGGCTCCTCTGACACAGACCCCCAAAGACTCTGACACTTCCAATGCTGCCTGAGATTGGAATTCACAACCTCCCACCCACATTGTGTCAGAATTGTCAGGAGACAATTGATGCACACACCTCTCAATGACTTCACAACCTAGAACACTGCTCCTCAACTGCCCAGAAACCTCACATTCTGGCACAGATCCCCAAACAGCTGAGGCGTCACCCCAGACTGCCCAACCCCCTGAGAGTGTCCACACAAACGACACAATTCTGAAACTTCAGACCCTGGATGCATTCCCCAAAATGCTCGGTGGCATCCTGTAGAATAGAGCACTAAACACTCCCTAGAACATCTTCCCACAAGCAACTCAGAGACTCCAGTCATGGCCACAAACCCCCAGAACTCTGCTCTTTCGGCCCACAAACAGACTCCACTCAGAGAATGCCGACTCTGGCAAACAGATCTGCATACAACTCAGACCTAGCACCTTCTGATACTGCCCTCTAAGAAGCTTGGTCTTGGACAAGGCCACGCACTCTCAGAGACCTGAAAAGTAGATTACAGTCACCTCCCCAGCCCAACTCAAAGCTCAGAGACTTCACAACAGGGCAGTAAGGGCACACTGATTTCACAGAGGACTCAACAAGCTGACAAAAACAAACAACCTGCACAGTCACCTCACGCCCTGAACACGCCGCCAGGGAATTCTGAAACCACATTCCCTGGAGCACAGGTCCTAACCCGATTCAGAGACCTCACCGCCTTGCCTCAGGTCCCTGTTCAGAGATGGCAGGTTCCAGACAGATTTCCCCAAAACAGTTCAGCACCTCCAAATACCCAGACAGCCCTAAACTCACACTGATTGCGAAAGAGCTCAGAGGCCTGAAAAGACTCAACCCTTCTACCTAGCTTACAAGCTTCACACCCAGTGCCACCGACCCCACATCCTAAGATCACACATGCTAGACACAGACCCCAAGCGGCTTAGAAACTTCTAGGCTTGCATTCCCAAACAACTACAAAGCTTCACTCTAAATACTGATCGCCGAATGATTAGGAAATACCAGCCCAGGACACAGACTTCAAAAAGGAACCTGTGCTCTATACTCAGATTTCAGACGCCACAGGTGCACACAGGTCCCCAGACTGCCCAGAAAACTCACACTTTGTGCAGGCAGCCACAAACAGCAGAGAGACCTTGAAACTCGGACACAGACCCACAGCAGCTTAGAGTCCTCACCTGGAGGACGCAGGCACTCCAACAGCGCAGGGGACTTCTGTCCTGGGAGACAGACACAAAACAGCTCAGAGACTGCACATCCCGGCTGCAGATGCCCACACAACCCAGGCACCTCCCATGATGGGATGGAAAGGCACAGAGTTCATGGACACTGCGCCAGCTGGAAAGCAGCCTACACACGGACTAGAGGCCTCACATCGGACAGGCAACTCCAAGTTAACAAACTACGTCTCAGGGCAAACCCCCACGTAGCGTACAGACATAACCTGGACACAGACCCCCAAACATCTGAGAGGTGGCATAAACAACTGGTAACAGAACCCCAAACGGCTCATACACTCATACCCTGGAATTGAGCCCCTCCCCCCCAGCAGTTAGGGGCCTCAACACCACTGCACAAGGAGCTAGAGCTCTCACACTCAGGACACGGGGTGAAGCACCTGACAGGTGTGAAACATCTATAGAAAGACTTCCAGCTCTGGAATCAGATCCTGAAACTCCTCCCTCCAAATTCACAACCAGGGACAAAATCCCAACAGCATAGAGAATTCATTCCCTGGGATGTGGGCTCGAAACTGTCTCAGAAGACACCCGGGATACAGACACTCAAACACATCAGTCTTCAAACGAGGGTCACAGACCCCCAAACAACCCACCACTTCCCACATGAAAGGGGAGACTTCTGAGGAACAGACTTCACATCACAACTAAAAATATATCCCCAATAGATCAAGGAACTCTCAAAGCCAAAGAGTTCGGGGTCACATATTCTAGGACACCATCCCCAAACAGCCCAGTCAACTCACCCCTGGAAGGAAGACCAAAAAACAACAAAACAAAAAAACTTAGAACCTTCACATCCAGAATTCAGAAATCCTCCTGGAGGCTTAGGGCAAAGGCTCCAAAATGTAATTCAGAGAAATGACAGGCTAGCTGCAGAATAGCAAATAATTCAGAGAAAGAACTCAAGTTGTGTGGGGCACACACCAAAACAGATCAGGAACCTCACACCCTGGGACATCCACACAAAAAGAGCTCAGACACTTCAGATTCTAGGAAATACAAACCCTAAAAGAACAGACCTCACATCCTGTGACATGTTCACAAAAAGGTCAAAAACCACACCAGCTAAGATAGACTGAATTATACAAATAATTCAGAGAAATAGTATCCAGGTCCAGATATACACAAACAGATCACAGGCCCAGCCCCTGTGACACATGCACACAAAAACACCAGGTGTCGTGCCCTCCCTGGTGGCGCAGCAGGTTAAAGCACAGCGCTGAGAAGCTAAAGCCACTTCCGCATGAGTTCAATCCGCAGACCCGGAGGCGACCACATGGCGCGGCAGACCTCTCCTGACCCGCCCGCTGCTCCCCTCAGCAGTGTACTTCGTCCATCTGCCTGTTCTGTTCCCCACTCTGTCTCTGGTGAAGCCTCTCACTGCCCCTGAACCTCTGGCTTGTACCCCAGTTCTGTATGAACAAATAAATAAATCTTAAAAAAAAAAAAAACACCCGATGTCTCCCATGACTGCCATACACCGACAGCTGTATCAGAGCCCCCATGTGCTGGGAGTCCGGCCATAGACCCAAATCCCAGAGCATAAACCCTCAGCAACCTCACATGCAGGAAGAAAGAAAGACAGGTGAAAACCTCATCTGTCAAAACCTGACAATGTGAAATAGAGCTACAGACAGATCTCAGATGAAACACTGCTGATACAGACACAAGTCCAGACCCTCACACCTGAGACCTACAACCCTAAGGGAGCAGATACCTCACACCTTCATGTGCACCCACAATGAGTCTGACATCTTGGGACATCTACCCTCAAAGAGATCAGAGACTTCACACCCTTGGACACACACCCGATGACAGGTAGCAGACCTTGCAAAAACTGGGAACAGCCAGAGAACTGCGCTCACCCTGATACATGAACTCAAGAAGAAGTCGAAGAAGTCATGTCTTAGCACATACACCCACCAACACAGCAGAGACACCACATTAGGGATCATACAGACACCCACCTTGGGGTGTACATGGAAGATAAACAGAGACACACAGATTCTAGAAAGTAGACTGGAAAACCCTGGGAAATATGTCCACAAGAGACTAACCCTGGAATCGACACCCCATGACAGATCACAGAACCTACACACCCAGGGCCATATACCCATAAACAGATTGGGATTTGATATCCTGGAACAAACAGCAAGATAGCAAATATTTCACCATATACATGAAGAGGTGAGCAATGTCATATGCTGGGACATACAGTGACAAAATGTTCCCGGATCTCACTTGCTAGGAAACATGCAGAAACACATCAGGAATCTCAGCTTCCATATGACTCAGCAATTTCACTCCTAAGAACCTACCCAAAGGACACGAAAACATTAATTCAAAAGGACACCTGAGCCTCTATGTTTATTGCAGCTCTATTTACAATAGATAAAATGTGGAAACAACCAAATGCCCAAAAATAGACGAGTGAATCCAGAAGAAGCAGTTTATATACACAATAGAATATTGCTCAGCAATCAAAAAAGATAAACTCATGCCATTCTCCACATGGAGCTGGTTGGGATTATGTTCAGTGAAATAAGGCAGAAAGAAAAAGAAAAATACCTGATGGTTCCACTTGTAGGAGGAAACCATAAGGGGTCAGGAAAAAAATAATAAACTAAAAACCAAAATTAACAGGCAACTATGAATCAGAGACATTCTGCAGGGGAGGGAGAGGGAGAGGGATCAAAACAGGGGAGGGAAGACTATGGTGATGGTGCAGGGGTGAACTGGTGGCGGGAATTTTACGGAGACTACACCTGAGAGGAGAAAGCAGACATCGTACAAAAAGGAAGAAATATATAATATATAAATAGACAATAAAAAAAAGCAAAAAAAAAAAAAAGAAGTCTCATATTCTCATACACACACCCTTAGGTAGATCAGACATAAAATCCTGCAAAACATACCCACAAACCACTCACAAACCACACATCCTGGAACATACAATAAATAAGAGACCTCACACCCAGGGACTACTATACCCCAAAAGAGAGAGAATACAGACCATAGATCTTCCAACATAGAAACATATCGGTGACCTGAAATCTTGGGAAGACAGCACAAACAGATCAAAGCCCTACCACCAGCAAGATACATACACACATAGTGGAGAAACACGCACA